GTCCGCGACTCGTCCGCGCGGCTCGCGGACGGATGAACCCAACCTGTTTCTCACATCGGGATTCTGGCGGGGGAGAGCCGGTACTTCAGCGGATTAGCTCGGTGTCGGTGGCAACCAGTACACTTTTCGTCTGCTCGCGGCATGTCCTCCATGGCTCGCGGACAGCTGCATGACTGGTCGGCATCATCTACGCTTGGGCATTGTTTACTTAGTTTCTGGAGACTTTGTTCTCAGGTGATTAAATATGCAGAAATCACTTTTGGTGGTTCGGGAAATGTCGCCGCCGTCGCTCAACACGCGAGATTAATCTTAGCCGTCATGGTGGTGAAATATTCTAACTTTTGCAACCGGCGACGTGCCGCTTCTAAAAAAAAGGCGGGAGACACGTTTAGAAGTTCTACAAGTGGGGAATAATGTAGTTGAAAGAATATCCTGCTAGCAACTCCCTTTTCTCCTGAAAGAATAACACTACTCGTTCATTTGTCACAACACGACAGACATCGCAGCCAAGCTTCGCTTCTTGCGGGCATCCATGTTGAATACTCTCAAACCGGTCTGCTGCCAGCGGGCGCAGGTGAGCGCCGAATCTGCTGTCGAGGGTAATCCGGCAGTTTTCCCCTAGGACACCGTCCGTCGTGTGGATGCGCCTGCAGGCGGACCATCCGCGGATTAGCTGTCCGCGTCCACGACAAATCCGGATTCGGTCCGTCGTCTGAATGCACCATAAACGGCGTCAAGGTGACCAAACGATACTCCAAACGGCCGACCCCATCCGCAGCGCCCACCAGTATTGTTCAAAGCTCAGCTTTCATACTTGTGCGATTGTCAAATAAAAAAGCAATTATTGCGCATATTTGAGGCCCCATAACAACACGTAATATTATATATGTGTATTTTTTTTATTTTTCTGTATTTCAAACCTCCTCCGTTGAAAATGCTGGGCGCGGGCTTGGCCGCACGGCTCGGAAGGGATGAACGACATCGCTGGCGGTGCTACCAATAGCACGCGCGCTTAGATGCGACGTAGATAAAGACGTAACTACCAAAGCTACCAATGAAGACGTTTAGCGTTTCTCGTGGCAAATGGTTTTGCATTTAGGCTAACCGTATACAGCTTTCGCAGTAAAATAAACAAAAGCTTGATACCAATTCCAGCTCGGTATCTTAACATAGCGTTATTAATCGCAATGGGCTAGTGAACAATGCGAGCCCCACCGTGAAGGTGTAGTGGCTAAGATACTCGGCTGCTGACCCGCAGGTCGCGGGATCGAATCCCGGCTGTGGCTGCTGCATTTCCTATGAAGGCGGAAAGGGTGTAGTCCCGTGTGCTGAGATTTCAGTGCATGTTAAAGAACCCAAATGGTGGAAATTTCCGCAGCCCTTCACTAAGGCATCTCTCACAATCATGTGGTGGCTTCGGGACGTTAAACCTTACATATCAGTCAATCAATCAATTGATCAATCAATCAATGAAGTGAACAATGCGACTATAAGTCATCAATGTCACAAAGATTTTATTCCTTCTGATGCCACCGGCCACGTGTTGGAGAACTCTCGTGTCATAGAGTTTCATACAATAATACCTAGAGGGGAATCTGGCACTAGTGTCTACGTGGGCTCCTTCAGCGGTTGAATAATCCTACCCCCATGGGAATGATGGGAAGTATGATTACGTTCTTGAGATTCGCTATATTTGTTTGCCGAGTATAAATTAAAGTGATACAAAATTATATCTATTTGAAACTTGCTTCATTCTTTTGTACGTAAACTTTAACGGAGAAAAAAATTCTGTAACTATAAGGCAAAAATGAAACTTGAACAAATATTTAACCACCATGGTGCGCATCGCTTTGCCATTGCGTTCGAAATTTGGCATCAAGAATGAAGAAATATTTTGCAGTACTTAGCAACCAACATGCTTCACTCGAAAGTACGTATTTTCTATTTATGAATATAACAGTGCAGTATCGAGTGAGAAACACTTAGCGTTTCGTCTTCTGTGATGCCAGCTGCGTCTGCCCAAGTGATCTGGCCCCAACGCAACTCTTGCTTTGTTCGAAGTCTGCTTAGCTTTGCCGTCGTTCTGCAGTCGTTTAGAACGAGCTTAGGCAAGACGAGCTTGTGAAAAACATGAGCTCGAGGCAATATCCTGCTCTGGCATGAGACGCTACATCTATGCGCAGTGGTGAGTCCGTAGACGACGCTTCGCTTAAACTGTCAAGTACGACTCGTAAAGCTCCAACCATTCCAACGTCGCAGCAAATCAAGAGCACTGCTTGTATTTAGCCTCTATGAACAACAAAGACACTGCTTCAGCGTTTTTCACCACACCCTATACCCGCGCGGTGCTAATTACGAATCTGAAGCTGTAGAAAAAGACCTGTAGGCTGTTCACTAGCTAGCACTGCCCAATCCGAAGCCTGTACTTCCCATATTTCCCATAGGGTACACGGTCGCAGCGCCATGGAGATTCCTCTCTAAGTATTATTGTATGAAACTCTATGCCTGGTGTAGACTCTTACTTTGGATTACAAGTACAAAATAACGTGTACTATAGACCTAAAAGGAGCCCGGTCGTTTATCAACACGGCACTGATGTACTTTTATTTTGTAACAAGCTCCCGCGAGAGATTATTGTCTTACTCGGTGGAGCACGTCTTGCCAAGCATTTGATTTCCAGTCGCGCGTTCGGAATGAATGGCATTTCCATGTCGCAGACGTGCCCGAGTTGCTGGAACACATCGCGCAGGATGGACATCGGTGTTTTTTTGTGTTGAGTAAACTAAATTGGGAAAACACTTGTACGCATCTTCATTTCAGGCCTTCAATGAAAAACGATGTGCTGATAGTTTTCTTTTTTTTTCTATAAACGTGTTTGCATAAATTTTACAAGATATAGTCTACCGAGCCCAGGCATGCAGCAACTGTTCTTTACGTGAAGACTTACGACGGGAGCTTTCTGAGTACGATTGCTTCGTCCGTCGTTAATTCGTTGTCAGGAGGCTTCGGGGAAGGAGAGGGAGCAGTCAACTTTGAAGGAAACGACTGTATCGTGTTTAGGGTTGAGTTCCAGTTCTTCAATACCTGTTTCTTTCGATACAGATATATTCAATCGCCACTAAATAGCAGCCCTTTGCAGCCGTACCAGAGATGTGTGCAGGAATCGAGCATCACCAGTCAGTAAAACTTGAGAAAAGCGGCTGAACTTATCCTAACGGGGCCCCAACAGTTCCCAATGAAAAAAAAATGAACTTGGTGCATCAAAATCACGCTGGTACTGCTAGGCACGTCGCAATGAAGGCCTTAAAATTCACTTTTATCCCCACTGTGGCTCTGTACCATACTCCTGAATCTAAGCATTAGAGCCTTTCACGTACGCCAGAGTGCGGCCACTGCGGCGTGCATTAAAGCTGCGACCACGAGCACAATGCATGCGACATTCCTCACGACAATATGCACCTTTAGAACTACCGCACACGAGCATTTTTCAGTATAAACGAAGGCCATGCTCTCTTTACATTCTTTGGTACTCTCACAGCGTTCCCCTTTATAACTGTTCTCCTTCTCTCGTACGCTCGGCGGTTTTCGTCCCCATAATTCGGGGTAAAAAATCTAGAACTTCCACATTTCCCAAAGAAAGAGAGAGAAAATAAGACCGTTTTTCGGGACTATTGGGACTCTATACCATAAATATATTTGATTCTGATTTTATTCCGATCAAATTTCATGATCGCCAATTTCAGTAACGGCTGATGCAAACGGGGGCTAGAGCCCGCAACGGTTTCTGAAGACCCCTGCCTATAGCCCTCTCCTTGCTTGCAGGAAATGCCCTTTGTTTGGTTTGGAGGTGAATAGCATTGCCTTGTCTGGCGATTTTTTGTTTTTTGCTCACCTTCTACGAAAGGTAAAGAACCCACAGAAGAAAGTGAAGAGGGTTTCTGTTAGAGAAAAAAACATGGCAGGTTTAAACTGGGGTTCTGCTCTTATGCGAAAAATGATGAGCAAGTTCAGACACAGACACGTTGTGGTGTTTCATATCTTGTCTAAAGAACGGTTGCACGCTTTTGCGAGGCAGACCAATGACCGTAGATGCATGTTCATACGCAGATAATGAATAGAAAAATAACTGGATGGGGAGTCTGGAAGCGCACATTTTATATCGGCATTGCGAGTGATATGTAAACCTGATAACTTTTCCTATTGTTCCGGGAAGTGCATAAGAATGAGCACAATAGTTGAGCAATGGTCTTGTGCTCTCAGTGGTAGCATAAATATCAAGAAGGCTGCTTCAATAGGGTTTTACAGTACTGTGTGAAGCTGTTCTGAAATGCCAACCGCAAGCAAGCTGGCTGCTTAATGTTAAGTAAAATATCATAACTCGGAACCTCATCACTTCCTATGCATCCTTTAATTGGGAACTCGCCAATGCCCATCGTTGCCATGCGACGGGGTCTGCCAGGAAAGGCCAGAGCCGCGTTCCGCAAGCGACCGCTTTATGTGAGCTGTTCTATATATGAACCTGAGCATCAGGTGCGCTGGATTAATTTACCGGCTGTTGCTCCAAGCCTCCTGCTCCGAACACATGGGCGACTGCCGTTAAGTGGTGCCAGTGACTGCACTTGACAGCCAAACGGAATCACGCGCCGTCGAACTCTGGCCGATCATTATCAACCCGACCTGGCGACTAGGCTCGGGGGCGCAGGCAAACAAAGATGAGGCAAGAAGCGCGGGGCGCTGATTAACCACAAAGAAAGCGAGAGAAACAGAGCGCGTAGGCCCTGCATTGAAGACGCTGTCGTTGGTTAGCCGCCGTGGGAGAAGCGAAAGTAGTAGCAAGGTGTCGCGGGCGGCCGCGCGCAACCAGTGCTGTCCTAGGTGGGCGGTTACCGGGCTCCTCTTGCCCGGGGTGTGACGTCGTTGCGACGTCAGTTCCCGCCCCATCCGCTGGGGAGCCCCCCTGCGCGCGTTTTCGCCGGCAAGCGCCGCAGTCTCGCGTCGTCTGCTACAATCCGAGGGCGCGCGCGTTCGCGTTCGAGGGGTTGTCGCCGGAGGACAATCTTGACGGCTGCACGAGGAAAGCGTCCTTCGGGAAGCACCCGGTCTGTTGTCGGCGACCCCGCGTGGTCCTCTGCGTGGCCAAGTTTCCCTTGGCGGACGATTGCGGCGCGGTCACCGATGTGCGCCACTTGGCTCGAGTGGTTCAAAAGCTGCACTCGTCGCGACCCGCCAGCTGCACGAGATGCGCGCTTCCAAGGAGACAGCCAGGGGCTCGTGACTCCGTCGTGATTGTGCCGTGAAAGGGATCGCTACAGCTGTAGTAGCTGGTTATTTGAGAAAGCATAACTTTGTCGCGCTTACGCCAGGCAAGTGATAATTTTCTCCTCTGTTCTTACTTTACGCCTCTTTGTCTGTCAGTTTAACTTTCTCACGTCGAGCACGTGCGCAAACGTTACTGTCAATGCACTATTTGGCCAATATTCCACTAGTATGTCATTAGATAGCACCCACTTTTTTTCGACGGTAGTGTCTATTGCGTCTAAAGAGGCCGTTAAGCGTGCGAACGTCTGAGCGACAGATCACGAAAGGCAATCTGTTTCAGGGCCACCTCGTTTGCCGTATTTGTCTGTAGTAGATGCGACGATAAAAGCTCCCTCATAAGCTTTTTTAAAGAGCTTAGTGTCGACTCGCATTACGGTTACGGGACTCCACGAGCCTGCTTTGTTGACATCCACTTCCTGCAGCTTAATGGTCACTGACACGAGCGAACGAACCGTGTTCCTTGAAAGACCCTTGCGCGCCTGAAGACTTGGAAGGCAGTAAGGCGTAAGTGTATTTGCAGCAACGATCAGAACGCTTTCGGCCTGAGGCTTGGGCTGCCTGTAGAACATTCCAGCATTTCCAGCTGTTGCTTTTCTTTTTTCTACAGCCCACGCCTATTGATCTTTCCATGAAGACATACTCAGAGTTCTCAGCCCCCCGGCCACACCGTCTTTAACGGCCAACGCTTTTTCGGATCGTTTCCGTCCGTCTCCGTCAAGGTCATTACCAGAAACGCGATCAGACTTGCAAAGATAGCTCGAGTGTTTTATTCCGCAAGGGAAAAAAGTCTTTAGTACCGGCGATTGTTTCTTTCCCATTCACTTAAGTCGACGCTTAAAAAGAAAAAAATTGTGTGACATTTGCCAGAAAGCACAGTATCAGGTAAAATAAATAAATACGCTTAAAGTGGGCGTGCTCTGTTATAATTGCTATTTTCCGAAACTGCAAGCGTTGTTCAGGAAGCTATTTGGAATCCAAAGCATGAATGCCTACTTTATAAGGTCGCTAACGATTTTCATGGCGTCTTCAACGCTCAATCATTAAAGGAAGAAAGCGGTTGTAAATAAGATTGGAAGATACAGGGCAGGTCAAAAAGGGCAGAGCAAGTAGTTCATTCCTTGTGAGGCGTTTCAGAGACTGCTTACTGACAACAGCACCGTGAAATTCGGCTGAGGGTCATCGTCATGATCACAGACGGAGCCTCGAGCAGTGCAGCTGATGCACAAACGCTGGAAAGCTGCGAAATGAGGCAGCTGTAAGGCGCGTTCTCGAGAACCGCCTTCCGTCGCCTACGGTTCTACGTCGCTGCAGTTGACAAAAGCTTCGCGGCCAAAGCTCGACAGAGCCATTCACCCTAGCGACCTCGTGAGAACAGTAGTCTTCGTGCTTGGCGCGTCATGGATCGTCGCAAGAAGCTTCCGTTGCGCCTGGGTCTGTCATCGGCTGCCGTACCGAGCGTGAAGGTGACGCTGCCTCCGAAGCGTGACCGGTCCCGGTCCCTGTGCGTGGACAGGCTGCCGCCGCTCATCGCGCGCAGCCCGCCGGCTGTGGCCCGGGCCGTAACCCTGGGCAGACGGTGTTCAGCCTCTGGCACCGCGGACCGTCTCACAGTGAACAGCTGCTACGGACACGGGTGAGTGTCTTGCCGACGGTCAAGGGCCCGCGAAGACGAGCCGCGACAAGCAGCGGCTCTTCTTCGCTCGCCCGTCATTCCTGTTCCGCCAGTGCCCGCGCACGCATGCAACGCACAGCGGAAGCGAGGACTCGAAGGCACCAGCGTCTTGCCTGCTGCGCTAGTGACGTGCTCTGAGCTGAGAGACGTAGTAGAAGTGCAATGCTGATACTGCGACTAACGATGGCCTATCAAAGGGTAGAATTAGTGTTAGCATTGTGCACTACAATTTCGCGAGACGAACGCTGTGCGTTGGAGAATGCGGCGACACTTGCCAAATGCTCGTTCGTGGCTCTGTATAGGCCTGCAAACGTGGGCAGATTCCTTGCTATATTTCCTGCGCATTTTACCGATTTCAAGAATCACAGGTAGAACGAGCCTGAATGGCTTCACTTATATTTGTTGGCGTAAAGTATTTCGACTGATAGGCGGGTATTTGTGGTACACGTGAACACTCTCACTAAAGGAAATATTTGCTTGGTTATTGTGTTTTTCTGGCTCCATCCTTTATACATTTAGTGTAAAGGATGGAGCCAGAAAAACATAATGACCACGGTCAAGGTCATTTAGGTACTGGCATTAAATAGGAATAATTTATTACGCCGCGACAAATAAGCTAAATTAGAGAAGACGTCACAATCGCTTTAAGAAGGACATTGTTCAATATAACCTGAAAAGAGGAAACTGGGAAGGGCCATTGCCTGCAAATTTTTCAAGGGTAGGTTTACCGGCAACCTACAGCATCCTCGTTATTCTAACAAAGCTCACGCAACATTGTCAAGATCACTGTCAATTGACAGAGATTCGTATCTATGTCGTCAAAATATTTTGCTGCACGAAGGAAGCAAGAAATTTACACAACAAGACGTCTCCACCCACGCTGCATTTTAGCATCCGTGTTCATATTGGTCAATGCATGTACAAGCTGATTACAGTTTCAACAAACTTCGCTTCGTCTCAAATGCACAAGAACGCGTACATGGACCTTCGAAAACGCCGGCTAGTTGTTCGATTACGCAAAACGATGTTGCTGATAAGAAACGGATTTCTATGGGTATAAAAGAGATACTTGGTGAGACTCGAGAGTAAGTCGTTAAAGTCGCCACCCATTACTGTCAGCATACGTTACCCCGCCGCGGTGGTCTAGTGGCTAAGGTACTCGCCTGCTAACCCGCAGGTCGCGGGATCGAATCCCGGCTGTGGCGGCTGCATTTTCGATGGAGGCGCAAATGTGTTCGGCCCGTGTGCTCAGATTCGTGTACATGTTAAAGAACCCCAGGTGGTCGAAACTGGAGCCCTCTACTACGGCGTCTTTCATAATCATATGGTGGTTTTGGGACGTTAAACCCCACATATCATCATTAGTTCTTTTCGTGTCTACTTCAATTCCAGCCTTGATGGAGCTGTGGTTACGGGGCTCGGCTGCTGATCCGAAGGTTGCGGGTCTGATTCTTGCCGCAGTAGTCGCATTTTGATGAAAGCGAAATAGTGGAGACCCGTGTACTTTGCAATGTCAGCGCGCGATAAAAAAAAAGCCAGATGATTGAAACTTCCGGAGCTCTCCACCAAGACGTCTCTCATAATTATATCCTGGTTTCAGGACGTAAAACTCAAGATAATACTATATCGATTATTTCCCATTTATGTCATAATTGCTACACAAAGGGCAAATATTGTCACCTATGCTTTTTGGGGTGCATTGTTTGTTGGCCTTATTAGAATACCAGCAATTCCCACAAGATCGATCGTAAGGTCTACTTCTCGCAATATGTAAAACAAGCTTCAAATTCCAGACACAGTAGCGGCCTCAAGGAAGTGATGCGATGCGAAGTATAGGCATTGATGTTTACATGCATGACCGTGCGCTAAGACAAATCTTGTGAACAACAAGTCACTCCTCTATAGATTTGAGCCTCTCAATCAATTTGTGGTCACTCGTTAGAAAACTTGTATATAAATAATAGATACTTACTCTGGGGATTGGAAATTTTAGAGCCAGCTGGAAGCGTTTGGCCTTGAGCACAAGCATCAGCGCCAGTCGCATGACGCATACAACTGGTAGGTGTAGTACAGTAGCTTGAAATCGAAGTAGAGTTTGTTACTCAATTTAACAATATTTCTGTTGCATGAGGTATCAGCGGTAATTGTGTGACATTCTGAGATAAATATTTAGGTTTTTTTTTTCGCGTGATTGTTTATCGCGTAAGACCTCGTGCCTCCTACTCCCCCCTCCTCCCACGCCGAAAAAGACATCATTCTGTCCGAACAGTTGTATAGCCTTCTACTGGCTTATTCGATTGCGCAAACAGAACATTGCCCAGATGATTCAGCAGCGTCAGGTGAGATGACCATGAAGGCGACCGTTGTTTTCAAAAAAGCCCACAAGGACACGGCGGCGGTTGTGGATGCTGCCGATAACGTTATCAGCCTTTTCTTTGTTCCCGAATTTCTTAACTCGTGGCCGTGGCTGTTTCTAATCTCTGGCTGGAACAGCATATTGTGTTCCTCCAGTTCTCAGCTGATGTGGAATGTAAGCAAATGAAGACACATCGTTTAGCGCGAACAACCAGTGGGTGCACTTTGTAATGTTCTCGTATATGCCTCATATTCGGCCGATTGCACTTGAAGAGTGGCTATGCAGCAATCTCTGTTGATCGCCATACATTGCGCTTCTAAGCCATGGGCTGGTGGCGTAAAAACTATGGCCAATGCCTAGTTTTCCTTTTGTTATTTTTAGCTATATATATAAAAGAAAATATACTCTGTTCGCGCGCAGTAATTGGCATACTTTTTTAGTAGAAGGATGTCCTCTGCATTGTATTCCCCGAAAGTTGTATGACAACAACTAAGGCAGCTTCACCCTATCGATACCAAGGCAGTGTGAAGCTGGACAGCCTTCTTTGTTTTTCCCGAGTTTTTCTTCCCTCCTACTTTTTCTCATTCCCAGTCTTGTCTGTGTTTTTTTTCCTATTTATTTCAAGTTATTTTTATTTTTTGCCATTTTTTATCTTTCTGTTTCTCAATTGCTTGCTCTTTAAATTTTATATGTGGTATTTATTTGGCTGTTTGCCTAGCCATAGTAAAAATATGCCTTGTTTACATCGTCATCAAGGCGCTCGATGAGGAAGAAGACTTCTCTCTGACGCGAGTGCGCACTCGATATATGCTGCAGCTGGCTTTATATATGCATGCATGCGGTTTTGCCTTCGTAACGCCAAGCAACGACGACAGCATACGACCATCTGCCCTCCCTGAGGCGCTCCTCACTTAACACACATTCAGACATGAGCGGCATTCAGAAGTTCATGTACCGGCTTCTTCACGGTGGTGAAAAGTTGCCTGTTTTAACTGCGTGATAGTCTTACGTAAGGTTTTTGGGACTTGACGTCCTAAAGGACGATAGTTATAGCGCGAGAACAGAACGACGACACAGAGACAAGAAGGACACGAAGGACCCGAGCGCTAACTTCCAACTCTCGTGTCCTTCGTGTCCTTCTAGTCTCTGCGTAGTCGTTCTGTTCTCGCGCTAAAACTATCGTCATGTCATACCAACTAGCCCAAGCTGCCACACTTCTGAGTCCCAAAGGAATTCAGTTTTCAATTTATGCGCGACGCAGTTGTAGAAGGCTTCGGATAATCTGGATCTTGTGTTTTTGTTTACGTGCACTGAAGTCGTGCACTACACGGGCCTCTATCCGTTCAACTCCGTCAGAATGTGACCGCCGTGGACCGGATTGAACGTGCGTCTTCAGGGTCAGCGGCCGAGCACTGGAACCACCGAGAATGTGCGACGATTGCCCCGCCACGGTGGTCTAGTGGCTAAGGTACTCGGTTGCTGACCCGCAGGTGGTGAGATCGAATCCCGGCTGCGGCGGCTGCATTTCCGATGGAGGCGCAAATGTTGTAGGCCCGTGTACTCAGATTTGGGCGCACGTTAAAGAAACTCAGGCGGTCGAAATTTCCGGAGCCCTTCACTACGGCGTCTCTCATAATGGTGGTTTTGGGACGTTAAACCCCACATATCAATCAATCAATGCGCGACGATTGACACCTCTACATAAAGCTAACTGATTCGGGAAGGCGACGACTGAAAATCGTCGAGCACAGGGCCGAGGACTCAACTTATTGTCACATGTGCTTGTAATTAAGAGTGTAAAGCACCCGTGTGTGCTACATGCTCAAACATCGGCCACCGTCAAGCCCACTTGGTGGTCGGCGTATTATTGAGGCGTCCATTGCCTAATCGACGTTTCTTGTAGAAAGCTCGTAATAGGCGTTTCTCGGTTTCTCGTATAGTAAACTTTTTGCCAAAATAATAACAGTCGCGCTATCGGAATGTGGCACGAAACGGGGTGGCAGTATTTCCATTTAGTATACTCCTAACTAATCCTGACCAAACGTCTCGTTTGTCTTTTGCGCTCAGAAAAGCTGACGAGTAAAGCCAGTGTGGCAACGAGGCAAGTACAGAGCGTATACACGCATTGTGCGTGTTTTCACCGCGCGCTGCTCTGGTCTGCAGCGTTTTGCAGCGCGGGATGCTTGCGCGTTCGGAGAAATTCGCTCCGAGATTCAAGTGGATTATAAACAAAGTGCGTGTTGCAAACCTACTTTGTTATGTATTCCTCGAAGGAACACCGCCTTGAGTTTTTTCGCCGTAATACGTTTCGAGAATTCACGAGTACTTCACACCTGACAAACTCTCGTGAGGCGCTTTATAGTTCGCACCTTTTCAGTCCGCCCAATTTCTGCTTCACACCTGCCATCCAAAAGTTGATCCACGCGTTGAATATAGTTTTGAGGCTCGCAGTACTGGAAATTTTGCGAATGATCCAGCGGAGGATAGAGACCCTGCTATGAAATGAATGGCCGCACCTGCTACCTCGGTGATATTGTTTCTTGGTCCTACTTTATATGCGTGCGACTGCTATGTGTAGATGTTGAAACCTCGCATTTTTTTTTCG